CCCCAAAACCCCAAAACCCCAAAACCCCAAAACCCCACGTATCTGTTCTGATATTGAAATCTATCCAGATTAACTATTTTGTGGCAGAATAAGATTTGAAACATAACTATTCATCTTGTTGAGCAGGTAGCTCAAGTCCGTTTAAGCTCTCAAATACTTTCAAAATAGCTTGAGTTCCATCTCTACTTCCTCCATTAGCAGATAGTGAAAGATAGAGTTGATGAGCGCTTGATGTTCCTGGAACTGAGAGGCCCATATTCTTTGCTTCTTCTAATGCGATTCCCAAATCTTTAATAAAATGCTCGACATAAAATCCTGGGTCAAAGTCTCTCTTTAGCATTCTTGGGCCAAGCTTTTCAAGAGAGAATGATCCAGCAGCTCCTCCATTAAGAAGTTCGATCCAAGGTGAAATTTCAAGTCCTGCCTTATGTGAATAAATCATTGCTTCTGAGAGACCAACCATAGTAGAAGCAATCATTATCTGGTTAACGCACTTAGTATGTTGACCTTTACCAGCATCTCCCATTAACTTTGCTGCTTTGGAATATGTTTCCATCAAAGGGAGTGCTTTATCAAATGTTTCCTGATCACCTCCACACATAGCTACTACTTGTCCATTTTTAGCTCCAATATCTCCTCCTGAGACTGGGGCATCAATAGATCCAACCCCTCTCTTTTTAGCTTCCTCATGGATTTGCTCAGCTAACTTTGGAGAACTAGTGGTGTGATCAATAAGCACGGCTCCTTCTTTCATATGCTGCACAATTCCATCTGGTCCAAGAGTCATAGCTTCTACATCATGAGGATATCCAAGCATCAAGAACACAAAGTCAGCTTCCTTCGCAATTTCCTGAGGCTCTTTAAACTCCGCTCCTTTCTCTACAACATCATCTGCTTTCCCCTTAGTCCTATTATACACCAAAGTCTTGTACCCCTTCTTATCCATAAGATGCCCACACATAGGACCTCCCATGACTCCAGTGCCTATCCATCCAACTGTCAAACTCTCCATTTTCCTTAAAAAATCTCCAATTTTTGTTCCTAATTTTGGGGTTTTGGGGTTTTGGGGTTTTGGGGTTTTGGGG